AAATGCTGTCTTTTGTGGTTTCCAGGTCAAACAGTCTTGATTGAAAATCGCCGGCCCAGCCTTAATCGTCTCGATGTCACGCCTTTCAAGATCCCTCCGAACTTCTCGGCGCGTGATTCGGGTGGCTAATCGCAGAAATAGCCGTTTTCCGACGATGTTTTGACTTGTGTCAATGACTTGTTGATCGCCACGTATACCGAATGAAAGAATCTCTGCAACGACCTCGAATTCATCAAAAACTTTCCCTATCCTATAGGTTTTCGTACCCATTCGCCGTTCGAATTCACTGCGCGTCCGAACTTCGCGGTAATTAATGAGCATTTCCGTTTTAACGCGATCATATGCTTCTTTCAATCTTTTCTGACTTGAGAGAAGAAATAGCTTTGACGAAAAAAAACGTGTAGAACTTTTGTGGAAAACTGAAGCCGGTGCAAATCTATGATAAAAAAAACAATGAATACAGCTACACTTATGAGATGAAATTACACCCTTTATTGAATACATTTTCAACATAGATTTGGAATAAAATTCAAAATTACGCATATTAAGCTTCAGGCATACAGCAGGTACAAGACACCTTCCATTTATTTTGTTTTATGCAGCCGAAAACAATGTTGGAAAGCTAATTCGAGAATAAAATGAGTGGACTTCAGATAGGGTGCAGTGAGGTGAATTTAATTCATACTTCTTATAATTTTATTTCAATGAATGAAAATGCTGGTCATTATGCATCACACTTCATCAAAAGATAAAATGTTGGTTATGAAGAATGTCGCGGATGACTTGAAACAGGATAACGCGGATTGCATTCCGAATCTTGTAATAGGATATACTGCAATGCTTTTTTGTGCTAAAAGCTGAGAACACCAACTATTCACAATATTTCACCACAAATATATGCCACATTCAAGTTCAATAAGTACAGTGCCTATTTTTTTAAATGGCATTTTGTAAAAAAAATAAGCTGTCTGTAATCAAAGCAAAGGATGTGGCTACGTTGCTGCCATACCCGAGTTTTTTTTATCAAAGTTTTAAACAAAACAATGTGGCAAATAATACCAATAAATTCATTACGAGCCGCGTGCATCCCCGCTTTCGCATGAATTTACATTCCGTCGGAAGTTGTCTGACAATTTTATACCTCGCGAAACTATACGTATAATCACGCGATTTTTTTTTTGCCTCCTAGCGCAGGTCGTGAGCCATGAAAAAGTTGCGAGGCATGAATGCGCAGTAATTGGCCGTGTCGTTTACCGGGCACCATCAAGTAGTTCTCTCGTCGGTGGCATCCGAATTTCAGCACGAATAGACCGGAATCGCGCAATGGCATCTGGTCCCGACTTCCGAGGACCTTCGCAAGAGAAAAGCATGAGTCCGTCGCTGAAGTTGACAAATGGCTGAGTGCATGCCATATCTCAACAGCAGATAGGTGCTACAGGCAACGGGGCGAAATGACCGCCCATCACAAACGAGACATTACGTTTACGCGACCGAAACACGCGGAGTGACGGCTGGTCAGAAAGTTTAGCATACGCAAAAAAGCATACGTCACGATTAATATGAAGTTCGTATTTGCATACGATTACTCTTTTCCTCAAAAAAGAGGCATTCGTCAAAATTCCATTCCATTGGCATCTTTGGGGTCATTCGGGATCATTTTTCAAGTTCCAAGCATTTAAAGGAAGCATGCAGTACAGTATTTCTCATATTGTAGGCGTATCTGGAAAATTACGTGGAGTTGACATAGCATGGCTTCATTTATAATTTGGAACAAAATGGTTTCAAACTCCATCGGGTTCGGATCGAATGAGTTCTGAAGTTCCCACAGCTACGCAACTTCTTGAAAACAACTTCACTCGCATTTTCCTTGACGCCCACGCGCTGCTTTTCTTACTTTGCGACATCATTCTATATAGAGACTTATATTCGATGATGACAAAATTAAGAAATTCCGGAGAGAGAATTCTAAATTGCATCGTTGGAAATTGATGACATCAAGTGATCTTTCGGAAACCTTGCTCTTTCTTCGTGGTTCAGGAAGTTTGGTGGAAAAAGCTATACGGGACGATATTTCGGGAAAACCTGCAGTGCAGTTCACAATGCTTCAGAGCATGCGAAGTTTACGTAAAAAATAACTTTTCTGATTGAAAATTGACATGAAAAGACTTTAATTACGAAGATCATCGTAATAATGATAAATTTGAACGCTGTCATGTACTCATTTATAATCAAGTTTTTTACGAGAACGACTATATCAGAGGTGCTCAGCTTGTCATACGATCACGGGAAACACAAATTGGGACCATGTCGAGGATATACTGTACTACACGTGAGTAGCTGCGTTTCGCTGCTAAAAATATTCAATGTGTCACTTCTTCTAAGATGAAACTGATCGAATAAATGAAAGAACACGATTTACCGGTAGTACTCGGGAAATTATGTGATCGGGTATTGACGGAATGATTGATCTCCGTGCACTGTCCACTTTACACCTTCCACTCAGAATTGCATTGTGGAAGTTTTCTACATTACTGCAGTTCGTATGCTCGGATCATACAGAAGTTTCTTCTGCGTAATTTCCTGCCTTTCAGTTCAACTTCGTATATAATATGTTAACTCACACCGTTAATTTGCTACCATGCTGGATGAGGGAAGGAAAGTAAGTCAGCCACCAGAGCATCAATGTTTTTATTTTAATGCCTATATTCAGGTTGAGGTTCTTCCAGGCTATTTTTGCGAGGCCTAAGTGAAACAGTGACTCAAAATAAATTATAAAACCTTTGTACTCCAATCAGAAGAAGGTTTGGTTCAATTTTTTGGTTTTCTACTGCACTGAGATGTTTTTCCTGCAACAGCAGAACTCTGTGAGCAGGCACGGACGAATCGTTCTCTTTCATCTTTGGAGTAAAATCAGTTTATGGGAGAAATTTATTGTGAAAAGGATACACAAAACACATAAACTCCAATTTTCCATTATGTATATTATTGTTGTACATTCAGCAGAACTAATACTGCCTGAAAAGGGGAATATTGTACTCCGTACGGATTCAAACAACTGTTACTAACTGCATTGTTATTCAACTGACTGAAATTCGTGAGATTTAAAAAAATTAAACATCGATCTTAGTCCCATTCAATCAGCTTCTGAGAAAGAGAGACCACTGACCGCTAGCAAACGAGATAAAAAAATAGTATTATCAAGAAATCTTTAAATTTGGGATACCATTCAAATGTCAGACTGCGGGGTGTGATTCTTAGTTTAAGCGTTAGGGGTTACCTGAATCTTAAACCATCATTTATAATCGAATATATTCAACATATTCGAACTAAAATACTGTTCAACTCGGTAAGCTAAAGGCAAATGAAGTGATTCATAAATGGAATATAGTTGTGCACAAACAATTTTCGCCGTCCCAATTGCATGCAAATAGGGTTGTATCTCAAAAAGAAGCCGCGAACTAAAATTCCAAAATTTTGCGTGGGAGATATAATTGCTGAGGTTTACTTTTTACCGCGCCAATCAACACCATCCTGACTTCTCGACGAAAGAAAGCGCATGTACCAGGCTTTAAAGAAGGGAAATTTCATCGCTGGCGTGCTCGACGAGGTATTTATTCCCAACAAAATGCCAAGATCCAAGAAAAAATATTTTCGCGCAAGTTATTTTTTCGTATAGCGAATGAATGGATTCGAGATTAATGGCTTCCGTGGAAGAAATAATTAGGATCGTTGCTCGAATTAGCTGCGGGAAATCGACCGCGCCAGCCTCCGCGAAATCCCTTCATCAAGGGATGTATTCTACATGAAATAGAAAACGTAAGCTGTCCACGACTATACAACCTAGTGCAGCAATCGATAGCCAACATCCTTCGCTCCAGATCCGACGCGCTTAAGCACCGTATCTGCTTCCATTTTTCACTTGGCACTTGCCATCAGCCGACACACAGAAGGGCGTCGTACGTGGCATTTCTTTGCGACCTGCTTTCCGCCTTCTGGAGTTCACGCATCCAGTCGACGTGCTGACAGCTCGGCATGCTTGTCAGGTGATGACGAGTCAAAGCCATTACAAAAAGCCTGATGATATCTTCAACAAATGAAACGCTATCTTATGCACACAAAACAAACAGCTGGAAGATCAACTCATTTGAATCATTTATTCATGCATGCACAGATCATCCGTCAACCTTCATTGCGAAGTTTTCTAAATTCCGTAATTGCCAGTTTCAACAGAAAATAAAGCTAGTTTTTTCCTGGCAAGATCCCAAAGTCAGATAAACTGAAATCGAGGCAGCGTGAAACTTGGATTTTCATGTATGATAAGGAACTGTTAGTGCATTCCTCCTGTGCTAAAAACGAGATTTCTTGAGTAACTTGAAATTTATTTCCAAGGAATGTTGCCAGTGATTTTCAATGGCCATTGCTTTGTCTATGGGATAAAATTGATTGGAAAATAACGCTTCACTTGCTGAGGGAATAATGATCCCAACAATGCTGAGGGTTTTTCCAAAATTCGGCGATTTCCATCGTCCATCTGTTGTGAAAAAATAACGGAATCGATCTATTGAAAAATGTCTTCAAAGGATTAATTAAAAGCGCATACTGTACTGCATGAGAATTATCGGGAGAAACCATATTGAAATTCCCACAAACCTCGAACACCTTCGGAGTTGTTCAATCAGGGGAAGATGAAGGAACCAATAATAAACTCTTACACATTCAGTTGCTTCTTTTCAAATTCGTACACGGTTAATTGAGAACCGGACAATCGATTTTAATTAATTCTTGCCTGAGGAAAAAAGTAAGATTGATGTTTTGTGGAAATGGAGGCGAGATCCTCAAAAGCGCCGCTTGCATACTTTAAAGTTTCATTGCTGGAAAATTTCTCAACCCGTTCACAGAAGGCCCACCTTCAGTGAACGGGTAAGCATTGGACTTGCCGTCATTCCGCTGACACTCCCTCGTTTTGGACAAATAAAATAATAAATAAATGAATAATCTCATCGTATAAGAGCACATACTGTATTTCTAAAGCTCGATTTTAGTACTGAATCCTGGAAAGCATCACGCGCAAATAAGCCAGTGATTAAAAAAAATGCATCACTCAATCTGCATTCCACAGATAGTACTCACGGAACATTATTACAATGCGTAATCCATCGGCTGTGAGTCAGTTGGAAATTCATCGAGAACACTCATTCAAAAATATATCTTGCAACGGGTCTTATTTTAAAAGCGGACACAAACACTTCTCACATCAACGAGTTCATCTCAAAAGCAGAGGGATCTGTAATTTTGTCACGCACAACGGCAACATAGCTCCAAGGGATACCAACAAAGGCTCTCAAAAGAGAGAATTTGGGAGAATTCGACGCATTAATACGAGCTCGATCACGTATGGTGCTCTCAAGAGAAGTTTCCCGTTGCCAACAAGGGCTTTTGATGAAACGAGCAAAGGAGGCCCGGGAATTTATCTAAGGCGAAATCTCAAGCCCGTTCCAATCGAACAGTCGCCCGGAATTCTCATGCTTGAATTCCGTCAGAAGTTTCATTATTCCGCTAGCACTTTCAGATGTCGTCACGGGAGGCTTCCGGTTGTTTGCAGAACCCATATCGGTTTGAACCCAGCCGGGATGAACGGCGACAAACGTGATCCACGGGGCCTCAACAGATAAGTTTTTCGTTAGCATGTTCAGCGAGGCCTTGGAGCACCTGTACGACGTAATCCCTCCAGCCGAGTTGGCGCTGAGAGACCCCAACAGCGATGATAAATTGGCCACCATCGGAAAACCTGCGAAAGATCCAGGAAACTTATCACCCACATCAGTCTATTTCCTTCACAGTGCGAAGTTTGGCACGAGGATAGAGTGATCTGCGGTAACCCGGTATTTTGTCTTACGTCCGCGTGTTTTTGTATCCAGGATCGGGAGGAAAGTTTGGATCACCATCATCGGGCCAATCACGTTCACCTCGTACAGTCGCAGCATTTCATCCGGATCAGCCGAAGTCACGGGATCAATGGGATGATTTTTGCTAGCAACCCCTGAAAATAAAAAACCAGCACTAAGAAAAAAAAACTTTCCGGATGCGACTGAAGAAACTCGAGAGAGCGGAAGTGCAACTAATGGCTCGATGAGACGCAAGGAACTCATTCCTTCCATCAATTCCGAATCACGGATCAAGCGATGGCATCGGACGGTCGAGTACCAGATGAAATTCGCAAGGACAAGGCGAATACGACGGTACAGTTTCCTTACTAACATGTTTTTCGAGGAAGTGGATGCCGTACTGAAGCAGCACCGGAAATTCCGAGTACATACAGAGGCACAAACACAATTTTCACGCCAGAAGAAAGAAAAAGGGAAGAAGTTCTCGGAATTGAATTTCAAGGAACCGTAGCCGACTGATACTGAAGTGCTTCCGAGAGACGAATTCTATCGTGGTAAATATGCCCAACGTCAACACCAATGTCCCCGGCGCTCCACATCCAACCAGCAATGTTCACGACGTAAGAAAGCTTCAGCGGTTCGGAATCCCCGAACTCTGTCAACTACAGACCCCGACACGGGGCACATGAAATGATGCTGTCCGGGAAATCCGTTCGGCTAAATTCAGACTTTTCGCCAGGCTACTTTTAATTCATCCTAAGCATTCGTTCGTACATATAGACGTCTGTGGTCGGTCCCATCCCCCTTTTATGTGTCAAATTATGCAGTCTCGGCGCGAGAAAATGCAATTTTCTAGACAGGCTCAAAAACCGTGACATTCACCTCAAGCGATCGGATATATACGCATGCTCTCCGCGAATCCAATGAGGTTTGGACGGAAACCGGTGATGAGATTCACTCCGGATCACGTGCGGGGGAAAAGGTCACGGCTTCGCCCGTCATTTTCATGCAGGATGGTGACTGGATCGCGATCCGAATCGTTGTTCGTTTCTAGATGCGAACAGCCCAAACACGTCCCGCAAGCAACCAATGCGAATACTATCTCCGTTCCCTGATGAAACCCAAGTTCGAATTTCCTGGCTCACGGTAAAATATTTCCAGAGACACACGCCCAATTTTCAATACTTTCAACATGAAGTTGTGTTTTGAATACCCTAAACTTTACTCTACTGTAAATACAGTACTTCCTTAGAACCTCCTTTACTCTGCTTTACTGTGAATAAATCTTTTCGACAAGACGATGCTGTTTCACCTGTTCTTTATTTACAGTCAAATTATACCAGTGTTCCCCAAGTTTTTTTGTCAGTCCGCGGGAAATTTTCTTCAGCATAATACAATTACGAAACTTAGCAATGAGGTATGTTATCTTTATTTGAAATTTAAAAGAGACAACAGCAATTGAAATTATCTTATGAAAAATAGTAGGTGACTTTCCTCCGTATAACACTTCAGGTCAATTTTAACATGCTGAAACACATTACTGTAAATTGATTTTTCATTCTGAGAAACTTTTCTTCCAGTCCACCTTATTTTTGAAGACATTCCAATATAGCTGCTTATTTGGCTCTTTGCGTAATTTGTGCGAGCAAAACAAGGAGCAAAACAGCAGACATTTTTTAAATACTTCCGCTCTCACGAGTTTCTTTAGTCGCATCCGGAATTTTTTTTTCGCTGGTTTTTTTCTTTTCAGGGGATTTTAAATTTTCCGAAATTTTGAAGGTCCACAGAAACGTTCTTGGAATTTGCTGGTTCGCAAAAACATTTTATGGAAATTTGCCGGTCCGCGGGCCCAAAAAGGTGGGTAACACTGTTATACAGTCACAATTGCCGACTGTCACGCATGTAATAAGTGTTATAAAAATTTCCCACGAGTTACCAAGACAGAAGAACAAGCAAGTTGATGCGTGAACACGATAACAACGAAGGTATTCAATTGGTTCTCTAAAAAAGGGGGGCTCATGATACGTCTACGTTTTTTGAAACAACGAGCCAGACAGAAAATGAAAGTTTCGAAAATTAAAAGAACCGAGTCGGAAGACGCAATGTCCTCGAGTTTTGATGAAAAGCTAAAAAACATTTTCCAAAGCATTAAAAGACGAGAGATCCTTTCAGATAACGTTTTATCTGAATGGTTTCTTTTTTCGCATTCCAAATTTTAAATCACAAATTGCTCACCATGATATTAGAAAGATCTCGTTAAAATACATTTTCAGGATCATTTATGCATTCATTTCGTATTTACACTAGTCTTACACTTGAAGCATCGAAGGTTTGAAAAATATGGTAGTGTTTCCTCCATTAAATGGTAGCAAAACAGGGGAAAACATTCGAAACTATACGATGAACATCGACGGCAGAAATAAGTAAATACTATCTTTCAGAAATGATGGCTATTAAAAACAAGCAAAATCAGGGCAGGATCAAAATATATGGTAAATCGATTTACAGATGATCTCTTGGTAGAGGATCTGCTCATTTATTCTTGAGAAGTCGAAGATCAGAATACATTCGTCCATGTATGGAAATAATCGCTAGAAACAAATCGAGTCCACCTGTATTTATCTCATCTTAGATTTTTGCAGTGGAGCCGAAAGCAGGTCTGGAAAACTTGGGGAAAATAACCATTTATGCTCGAAGAATTCCACGTCCGCGGATAAGGTCAGGGCCAAATCCCGATTCCCTTGTCTCGAAATATGAACCAACCCGCGGAATCATCGCAGCGAGGGCGACAAAAAAACTCCGAGATGAGACCCGGAACCCAGACAACCACGACTGTCAGATCGCGGTTCAACCCGCTCAATGAAACCCAGCATTCCGTAGGTAGTTTCTTTGAGATCCGTGCCAATCGCGGCCCGCGGCGTAAAGGGGCATCGCGCCAGGAGCTAGTTGCATAACGAGCCCGTTTCCTCACGAACAATTTCCGCCCTCGTTCCGGACTCCCATGAGAGATCGTCAACCCGGAAACAAGCGTTAGTTCCCAATAAGTAAAAGAAAATACCTTTCTTCCGAGTACAAAATGACGCGCCATTCGCCCGATCGAAAAAAAAAACACACTCGAGTTTCCTTGACCGAGCATGAATAACGGAGCAATGCGGAAATTCAGAAGGACACGCATTGGCAAGGGGATACAAAAATTAATCAGTTCCAAGCTTCCAACACGACTTCCAATGCCGTCAACGCTAAAAATATTCTTTGATTTTCTTCAGCTTGAAGCCAGCTGGATTACAAATTACAGATCACGCGTATCGCTGTTTTCAAAAAGCCTAAAAATCATTTTAAAATTGACACTTCTTCATTTCCTAGTCATGAAGTAAATTTCCACTGTCTTTATGCATTTACCGTAGACCGGTATTTCATCAAGTTTTTCGAAGTAATTTATTTTTTCACGCTCCTCGAACAACTGTAACTTCGGTTATTTATTTAGCTAGTTTTTTATGCTTTGAAGTTTCTCATCGGATTCACTGCATGCCATTATGCGCAGCGCTGGATGTTTTCCTTTAATTTCCCCAGCCAAGGCAGAAGTTGGATTCTTCTTTTGCACCCGGTTTTCTGCTACAGCTAAACGTTGCTTTCCGTGAAGAGAATTTCGAAGTTTTTTTCACAACTGGGGAAGTGTATGCAGTTCTTTTTCCATTGAAATCTACAGAAAACAATTCTCAGCTCGAGAACAGGGTCAGTGGAGCGGAAAATTTTGTTTCTTGAGACTCCACTGTACGCGTGTGAACAATGAACGATTTGCATCATGGCCGGAAAAAGATCCTGTAGTACTGCACAGTACTCACTTGAGTACCACGCGCTCCTGTGAGAGACGGGCACCATGATTTTTGGAAGAATGATTCTGGAACATTCACATTAAAACTCACTGAAGTTGCAGTAATCCCACGTCGCGCACCCTATTTTCCTCGCCAACCTTTCGAAGAAGAAGGAGGCAGGCGGTCAATAAAAAAATACGAGTTTGTTACTGCGCAAAATCCCAACTTTCGACTGTCAGGAAAGAAAACAAAACACGCATAAAAAACGCGTAGAACAGAAGTCGTGGGCATCGTTTGCTCAGTTCACGGCTTTTTGTGAGTACTGTATTATAAATACTGCCGAACTAAAATTCGCGCTATAACCTGCATAGGAGGGCTTTCAGACACTTCGGCTGGCACATTTACGGCTCGAGAGACGGGATTCACAAAGCGGCCGACAAGAACATTTCATGAAATAATGTGGGCATGCTCAAAATTCTCGCAACATTGAATTTTGATGAGTACTCGGGCAATAAACGGACGGCGGAAAGTTAATTTAATCTTCGCTGGAAATTCTGAGTTTAATCAAATTATTTCTCGATCAGGACTAGAGTGGCGGCTTTTATAAAAGAAAAGTGTTCAGCTAGTCAAGGCACTGAATAACCCTACCCTGGAATTCGACATTAAGCGGTAATGTCGTTCGTTATTTCAAACATTTATAGCATAAATGGATCCCGCAATATGGACTTTAAGGGTACGTTTTACCATCCATCGAGAGGCATTAAATCTAATCTTTTGCATCGTTGATAGGTATCGGCATTTCGACGTTGTTTAACGTCGAATAAGCTCTTCGAAACCCGCTTCGACACGTTGGAATTCTGCAGCATAAATTTGTCTAGCTTTTCAGATCAATGATCCAAAAACTAACAACGAATCAACGCCGTTATCACAAGTTATCCCTTAAAATAAACTAGAAATGCTGCCAGGTGTAAACCGGAGAAACAAAAGGGGCAACATGGAGAAAAGTGCTTGGTAAGAAGGCGACGCTTAAAATAATCATCCATAAAAATGATCAGCATAAAAATACCCTATTGAAAAAACAGCAAAAATCCCCCTCCGATCCAATGTTCTCATAAGAACATTTTAAATCCTTTGAAACTTTTCGTGACTTATGCGAAGAAGTACCGCATTCCTTTGGAATGAAACGAACCTCATAAAAATTGTTGGCTCCCTATCTGGTGCTTTTGCCAGAGTGCCATTTCAATAAAATTATATTGGGCACAAAACAATTATATTTTGCTTTCTGAGGGTTTCCTTACTTCATGAGTTCGGTTCACTTCCCCTTCTTACTCCTCATGGGATATTTTTCCCGTCCCCCACAAAATTAACAGTCGACTATTGTGGAAAGAAGAAAATGCATGTGAATCACTCACCCGCATTATTGATGAGAATGTCTAATTTGGGTGCAACATCCTTGACCACTGCAAACGCTTCCTTAATGCTTTCATGATCATGCACATCCAGTTTAATAGCTTCATGCAGGCCATTATTTTTCAACACTTCATTGAGTTCCGTAGCAGCAGCTGGGTTACGACAAGTGGCGATGACCTGAGGGTTCCAATGATGAAATAGTCAAGAAGATGCAACCTTCCAGATAAGTTGGAAGTGTACCTGGAAATTCCTTGAGATGCACTCTCTCACGAGCGCCAATCCGATTCCCCGGGAGCATCCGGTTATCAAAACGGTTTTAGTCATTTTTCGGGAAAAAAAAGAGGCTTAAGAGCAAGCCGAAACTTCAAAGAGACGACTTGTGGATCGGAAAAGCCCTGCGAAAATCCCTGCAAATCAATATTAGTCGTGAGGAACACCAACAGCATAAGCAGTATTCCATGAATTTATGCATACTCCACGGGGCCCAAACCAGCCGCTGGGAATGAAACTGGGCAACGCGTTCGATATGATGCAAGTACAGAAGAGATGCGTAATGCTTCGCCCATATGTACTGCGAGCCTTTAACAAGTGCAGATGCCACCGAGCCAATGCATAAGCCACCCATACCACTGCTAACCAAAAGCCAACCAATGTCGTTTCCACAGTTCTGCAGAAGGAGGAATGCATGAGGACAGGAAGAATGTTCAAAGACAGACACCGAAAAAGATGATACCGCAGAAACATGAAAATTCCACACAAGCGACCATCTGATCGACTTCCCATGAGTACGCAGCCCGTTCATTTAATTCATCGAATATTTTCCGTTTCGAATTGAGTAAATTCTGTACGATTCACACGAGACAAATTTCGTGTTTTCGAGCTACCTTTAAAGTAGGATTCTCGTTTTTGCGATGAATTTCAATTTCACAATACGGTTTTTCGGTTTCATATAACCACATTGTCATCGTTAAAGTATATCGCTGACAAGCGAATGTCCCCGTCGCGTCTCGAATAAATCAGACAGATCATCGATCAGCAACCCATGCGATTTTATCGACACAGTGTACATTCCGTATGCTATTACAAATTAGATAGTGGGATACAGCTGACGTAGGTGTCGCTCCTCCTACCGAGAATCACTATTTCGTCACGTGCAACCAGATGTTCATGCACCCAGCGGAACAAGTTCACTTCAATCAAACACAAAGTAATTGTTTTGTCCAAATAAATGAGAGGGAGAAAATTTACCAAATTCATCAAAACACGGCGTGAAACTTATATATTACAATGTTACCACAGTTTACAAGCGCACAATCGCTCGTTTCAGGCCACTTTCGGATTAACAAAAGAAAGTAAGAAATTTTCAGGGAAACGTAGCCGTAATTTTCACTTTACTGTACATGTAAATTTAGAAAATACCATTCTTTCAGAAATCGAAGCATCGCATGCAGAAAGGAGGGTCATAATACTGAACAGAGGAATAATTCGTAACTCACGATGTGTTCCTATGTAAACGCGTGTAAAACCTTGCAAAGCACTGGAGAGAGAAAAATCAAAAATTCCCAAACTTCTCGAAGTAAGCCTATAATGAAACCCTCAAATGATTTTCACTTCAACACCCAGAATCACAACTGATCAAGAAGGGCGTTGGCGTGCGCGTCGCGTTTCATGAAATGCTTTGCTCATTGGATCATTAGCTGGGTGAGTATACATATTAGTTGTCAATGATGGGTGCAGGACAACGCTCCATGCTGTGTGCTGCAGTCCGATTGCGGTAAATTCCCCGCAAAAAATAGTCTGGCTTATCAAATGAACTGAACCACTCCGAGATAGTGAAGGTAGGCCAAATAAAGCTCGACACCTGACACACAGAACGATATATTATGAAACTCCGACAGTTTGCGTGATCATCGCGAGGAAAAAACCCTGTCAAAAAAGCAAACAGTTCAATTCTCTCAGAGTAAGAAACGGACGAGATCTCAAGCTTTATGAGCATGTTCCAAAGCTGGACACTGCGCTAGTGTTTTCCTAGCAAGCTATTTTGAACGGACGTCGAACGAATGAGCAATGCCAGTTTTTCGTTCCAACTGAGAGGAATAGCTGGTGGCCGTGATATGCTTCGCGGTGGGTTACCTGAACAGCCAGCATCCAGCCCGGGTTGCATCGCAGTTGGGACTTCGCCCGAAGCTTGGAAAGGAAAACTCTTGGGCAAAGAAAATTAAGCAACAACGAACAAGGATACAAGAGCGAGTTTTCAACAATAAATTATTTCTACCGTGAAGAAATAATGAGCGGAACAAGCACAAAAATCACTGGGCAGTCAAGTTGGTTTAGAATGTTCTATACGTTCTAGGCATCTAGGATGACTACAAAAAGTAGAAAAATATCAGTATGTAACTGTGTAGCGCATAGGTTGCGAACTTTCAACTGAAATTTGAATAGAAAGCTCTTGATATCAATAAGTGCTAAGGTATTTTCCCCGAAATATTTTGTTGGGCATAAAATTGATGCGAGGGGCATTATAGCCGAATCAAAATGATCAAAACAATTATAAACCCTATGGATAATTCGCACAACTTGAAAATTATTTTGTTCATACCAGTCGACAAACAGCTGATTAGTTACCATGAGAAAACCAAGATTATGACGTCTTGTTCAATCCAAATCGCAATAGAACAGTAATACGTGTATGCATTTGTTACGGCGGAATAACTGTATCAAGATTCTCCAGTTCAACGAAAACGAAATGTTCAACCTGTTCTATGACGAAGATATTCGAGCAGATTTCAAGTGGATTAAGAAATTGATCATGTATGCAGAGATTCTTTGAAAAAGACTCTCATTCTCCAATTCTGGTTTACATACGCAGTGCAAATCAAACGCTTCTATGACAGAACAAAAAATACAAAGGGCCCAATTCAATTTATCTCGCGCTCACAGTGTTATTCCAGTCACTTGAGCTTTCCCGATAATTACATCACATTAAACAGCAACGTCTCCGTCCGGGCACAATCAATGTTAATTTTCGACGTAAATGCCAGTCTTTTCCCATGTGCATGTTATAAGAGGATCTGTGCCCCAGCAGTTATCTGCAGTTACGCATTCGCCATGCTTACGATTCGGAGTCCTTGCCGTCACGCTTGCCGTGGACCAAATCCTCTTCAAAGAACTTGAAATGAACCAGTCTAATTTGGAAAAATAATCCAGCGAATGGTTAGCATGAAAACAATCTGGAATGAAAAAAGTATTACCTATGTCATGTTTGACTAACATCATTGCGAAAGAAAGATCAATATTTATTTGTGTACCACGCACACCACTTATTTTTCGAAATTCCGAGTGAAATGCTCAATGCATTTTTTTTGCATGGTCATCATGACGAATCATGAGCTTGTCAAGCAAGGACAAAAATATATGAATCCTGTACAGGTTTATTTTTTTTTTTTACAGATTTTCAAACCGCAAAGACGTGTACAAGTAAATCTGAAATTCTCAATTTGGAATGCAATGCTTGAGTGTTCTAAACTTGGGTTGCGTGTTTTACGTAGAAAGGTGGGGTACATGCGTATATGTGGTATTTTCCGGGGATTCAATTCGGTGATGTGATTTCTGTTTTTCATGCGTCAACCACTTTCGCTCCAGAGATTATTCGAAAAAAAAAGTCATCTAGGTATTCCAGGATGATATTGAAATTATTTCTATGAAGCATTTTCTCAAAATTTCAGAAAATCAGATTCAGAAAGAAAAATGTTCTTACAAGTAGAGAAAAGAGGCGGCCAGCCAGCAGCCAGTGGAAATCAAGAACACGGCTCCCGGAAAGAATGAAACCGTGGCGCGGTAAACTTCGGAATACAGAATCCCTGCCACTATCGGAACCACTGCTTCGGAGAACCCGATAACTGCGTAACATTTCCCTGGAGAAGTGCGCATAATTGGTCACCTCTGCTGTTTTCCTTAATGGACTCGGATTTACCGCAGTTCGCACTTACCAAGTTCTTGCGGCTCAACAACTTTGGATATGATAGATCTGGCGACGGCAGCCTTCACAGTGGACAACATGTATAGTACTCCACCTATACAACACAAGATTAATCGAATGAGCATGTGCCAGCTGCGTGCATTGTCATATTGTGCGCAGAAACGCAAAAGTCACACGACGAGACGTCGGTGGAAGCACATGGCCCACCAACACGAGACTCGACTATAATAAGTACAGTGCATGGCTCGTCGAGAAGTTCGTTAACAGGTCAGTTTTTTTATGCGTTTATTTTTCGTGGATTGGGACAAGGGAACAACTCGAGAGAAAAAGAGGGACAAAGATCCATTCAAAACAGGGCAAAGCCCTATATTCACGGAGACGATTTCCTTAGCCAGTGGACTCTTCTGTAAGCAACGTTTTATACAGTATTTTCTTTTGAGATTCGAAAGATTTTAAAAATAATATTTTGGCGGGAGTTGTTTTCCTTGTCGAAAAGTTAACTGAAAATAACAATATCCATGGTACAGTATATTCGACAAAGAACAAGGCCAGGACAATTTGGAGAAGATCCACATCAGGGTTTATTCAAATTAATAATGATCTCTTCCATTTCTTTCAAAGCCGCATATTTTAGAACTTCGTTTCCGTCAGGAACTTTCTCGACTTGACAAAGTTGAAGAGGAACTACCTAAGTTCAGGAAAAGCGAGCGAAAAATGTTCTTGAACATTCAGAAAATATTTTACATGACTAACGTTCTATAAATACACTTTTCACCTTGAAAAACGTTTCGTATTCTTTATTTACGTTGGATTACACAGGTATTCCGAGTCGTCTTTTCTTCAGGTTCATTCAAAAACTAGCTTTTATTGCTCTCTACAACCGCCGATTTTCCATTTGACGAAGAATTTCTTCTCAGAAATATTCTACTCACACAAAAGGAATCAAGGTTTAACTTCGTTAGAAAACGTATGCAATTGAACATGAAATGCGCTCGTTTTTCTAAAGCGGCTCCTAAAATCAGAATGCATTATGAATTAAGCGGTATCTAACATAAATAAATGGTATGGCTTCTTAGATATGCATGTAATGTCGTGAATTGATTCTTTATCAATAAATATAAATTTTTAGTATAAATAAACCTTATAATTTAATTTTGCAAGGCCTTGAAGCTCTGTTCAATTCCTTCAAGGCGAATAATTGAAAAGGACGATGTTGAATATCCCGAGGGAGGCATTCCACCAAGAATGAAGCAAGTATTTTGCATTCGAATTGCTGGTCACGACTCACGAATGGCGAAGAATAATAGTAATTGTTGATATGCATGAAAAATATTAAAATATTCATGGTGTACGCATTGCTAGACAATTGCAGAGGAAATTGTGTATAAATTAGGGAGATTCGTCTCCTGATTGTGGGCTATCAACATTCTTCGGACGAAAAATGAGAATTTAGCTAGAGGTCTGAAAGTGCGTTTTGAGTTAGCAAGCAAACTTTTATCAAATTTGGACGAATGTGCAATGAAAATACGCCTTAGGAAGATGGCGTCTTATGGTGCGGTGAATTTAAGGTCAATTTCTCTTTCAGGGTTATGTCCTCAGCTTTTCTTTCTTTTGTTGACATTCTCGTCCTTCCACGCTTCTGCGCGCTAATTTTAAACCCCATTAAAATATACAGTAAATTTAAACATATAAAGGAATCATAACAGGAACATTTGGGAAGAACTCACTTGCATAGAACATCCACGTGGTTGTGGCGAAGCTGTAAGTCAGACGTGACAATGTCTGCAAACACACGGATACGCCTCCAATCTTCGTGTCTTCCCAGCGGAGCACAATTTTGAAAATGGGGGTAAAAATTACAGCACCTATAGGCAAAGATATGTTAATAATCAATCGAATGCTCTTTCAAAATCAGATTTGTCTTTCATTTAATTTCTTCTTTAATGATGCTCAAAATTGAGAGTTGGCGCGAATTCCATTTCACAGAACTTCGTACCTATAATCTGAAGACTGGTTTTGAAGGTCGAATAATAGCTGATCTGCTTCACGCTCCAACTCATTCGTTTTTTCAAGTACAGGAAGTCGACACTGAACTCGCCTGAAAAAAAAAGAAAATTGCCATTTGAACCATGCTTGTCAATTATTCATGCGGTAGCTTCCTTCACTGGAACACACCTCACAAGAACAGAACAAGTTGAGAAATATACTGGAAGGATTCATTTAATAGTTTAAAGAATATTCAATCCTCATTTTCACACAAGAATACTATTTATTTGAGCAAAATGATGAGCGAAAGTCTGTGAATTCTTTCCCAGCATTAAGTAGTAAACTATACTCTTTCAAAATACCTTCAATTGTCATGAGACTCAGTCATAGAAGTACTTCAGACTTTGAGTTTGAAATCTTGCACCAAGATACGTATAGTTAAACTGCTCAGAAATGTAAAAGAAAAAGAGTAAATCTCAATTTGACATGAGATAACACTGGTTTTGGATAGATTTATGGGCAAGGTAACATCCAACCTTTCAGGAAATAATGTCTGGCACCCAGATAAAAGTACTGCACAATATTGAAGGATGAATAACTGGCGAAGTTCCCAAAAAAAAAACTCGAGCTCCATTTCTCCAAAATTGAGATTAATGTATAGTGCCTGTAATGATTATACAGTATTTGAGAAGATTATGTGTGCTGGTTCAAAATTTCGAATTTTTTTTCCGAAGTATGTTTACCATTTTGTTTCGGCCCATATTGACTTAACATTCAAGTTTTGCATTTCTTCTGCAGTTCGTGGTAGGATTTCAGCCAGATAATGCAGCCCGTTTTTCCGAATATATCTTGTCAACCCCAAGAAAGACCATTTTTTCTTAGCGTTCAAGAGAAACAGAAAATATTCTTACCATAGATGGGGAAGAGTCCAATCAGAAGGGTGATTCCAATCGCGATCAAAACGAGTCTATGGTTATGTTCTCGACGTCGGAAAAACGCTTTAAACGTTTCTGTCACGCTTTCACGGATGTTGAGAAACTGGGAAAGTTTTTCCCTTCGCGAAATTTTCGCATCCTCTGTATTCGAGGATAACTGGTTGCGTGATTTCAATTTCCAGGCGCTGTAAATTCCGCCAACTAAACTGATAGCAATGAAAAAGTAGAACGCCGCTTCGTAGCCGTACGATTCGTAGATCTGCGCTCCCACGAGATTTCCAAGCGGTTGTCCGCTGTACAAAAACAAATTCAGGATGGACAGCCTGACAGTTCTTTGTTCTGGAGTCGTAACATCTGCCAGGTAACTGAAGATGAGCAACAGAAAGGTGGTGAAAGCTCCAAATGACATGGGTAACGACGAGAAGACGGATATGTAAATCGGATCCCACGACATGTACGCCACGTTCACCAGCATCCCGATTTGCTGGGCCATGGCAGCAAAAAAGCAAAACACTATCAACGGCTTCCTGCCGTGTTTGTCGGTCCAGTGTCCCACAAAAATTGCGACGAATACCGGAATTATGTACTCCATTAAAGTGTCATACATGTTGTAACGAGCCGCCAGGCGTTGCGAGTCGTCTTCTGCATCTGTGTGGGCGTCCAAGTTGTCACACACGTCTTTCGAATAATTCAGCTGGTAAACGCAGCATTTCTCCAAAAGAAGTTGTTGATAAATGAGTCGACTTCCAGCGACGACTGTGGCGTAAAGCAGGGCGGAAATTTCAACCGAGGTGCCCTTTGCCACGGCGGCGATTGCATTCACCGCCTTCTCCATTGTGTGGGAATCTAGATTTCAGGTATCCACTTTCATCTCCGTGGGCTGAAAGACGCGGAATTCATCAGATTCAGGTCGGCTTAATTTTTGGGGATGAAAAAGTTGTCCACGGTTACTCGAGGAAACTTCAAATTCACCTCTAAGCGTTATTTAAAAGTATGGTGCTGTTTTAATACGTGACCGACTACCATTAAGCGTGAGGCTGACCTTAGCAAGAGTGACCGACTGCATTGTTAGCAGATTATAATTTGTGAGTGAGAACAATTTTACGCATAGTTGAATTCAAGAAAAGGTTAAAAAAAATGGTCCCTCTCGGGCTCGACTTTCATTCTGACCCACTTTGCTCTATGATGAATAATGTTGGCTAAATTAATTTCATTAATTTCATTTTTAATGCATAACATAATTGTAAGCCATCAGATTACACATTACAGCATATACGCTCTAGGTGATATGGGTTGGTAGGCTCAATATTTTACAGTACCATTGGTTGTGTTAAACCGCCCTTTTTCCTCCATAAAATGTGTTGGAAAAATAAGAAATGCCTGTACTCCATGATGTGTTTGATCATATGGGATTTGTTTCCATATTGAAGTCGTATTGCATTTTCTGGTCAGCTGAAGCAGGGGTTTACTTCCTATAGTCGGGCACTTTCTTTTGTGAAGTACTGTACTTGAAACAATTTTTCCGTGGTTGAGTGGGTCACATCTCGTTTGGATAAGGTCTTTTTTCGTTTCACGCGCTTTTTGGGGGTTGGTCATTCACTAAAGCAGTACGAAAATGGCAGCCTCACAATCGCATGCACGAAAACGGACTAAGTTCTGCTTTTACCAGTTGAGCTGGTTGACATAGTTCCCGTGAACATACTCACGCTCGGTGGATCATGAGTTGTTGCCATCTATTTCTGGGATGACACACATGGTCGAATTGTAGCACAACTTCTCGAAACTTCTGCAAATTATTTTTAAAGAGCCATGCACACGAAAAAATGAAACTTTACAGCAACTCTATGGCTAAACACGATGAGATAGCATTTGGAGACATTTTTTAATCACAAACCCTCGCAAGAAGTTGTATGGTGAGAAAATATTCAATTTTACTGAGCTGAACTGAGCGCAGGCAAAGAAGACTTGAGGAATCTTCATATCTAATTTGCTTATCTTAAGGCCCCCTGGCACGGATTTTTCAATGATCTTTTGGAACCCAGAAATAATGAAATGACAGATAAGGACATGTGAAAGATATGATGCTTTTCAAGCGGGCATTTCATATTTCCTAGGAACATTTTTAGCTTTTTCTTAGTTTGCTGCTAGGAATAGCGTTGACGTGAAGGCGGCGAAGGGTTATTGAAGCTTCAATAACCCTTATTATTGAATCCCGCAGAGCTATACAGTAGGATGACGTGTTACAGTCGAAGTTTTTTGGCATGGTAAAAATTGAAAGAAAAACTATTTTTCAAAAGGTATTTTTTGCCGGTCACATGGATGCATTCGTACAAGCAAATTTGTGACTGTGAATAAATTCATCATCACACCATCAAATACGAGTTTTAATTGAATCATGTAATATTGACGGCCTGAATAAAAGGAAATGGGAGTGATACCTTTACTCGGAACCTTATAAATAGCACATGTGACTGGGATATGTGGATGGGAAAATGTGATTGTGGAAACAATATCAGGATAAATTCCTCTAGGAAGAGCAGGAATAATCAGATAATTCATGAATAAAGATCCACCATGAAATATCCCCGTGGCTGATTAAAATGGAATTCACCCTGGAACCTGCTCGAGAACTCATGATTACATGTGTAATGGATTTTCCACGTGAGGCTCAAACTTGTGTTATACAGTCACCACGAAGTTCTACGCGCATTATGCCTGAAGTTGAACAGACATATATCCTCAACGCATGACTTTTGCAAGACGTTGAAACTAATTTTATTGAAGTTACAGATATGCCTTCCGACGGCGATAATCAGTTTGAGTGAGTGCTTAAAAATCTTAATCTGATCAATTTTATCGTAAACGGTTGTCTTTTATCATCCAACTCGTTTTCCCCTGATCGAATGTGGACTTGCTGGGGAAATGATCCGAGTCCCTGGGTTTGACTTCGGCGTTTCGAATTTATAATTCATCGATTCAATTTACGAGGTAAGTGGTTATTTTTTATTGCTCATCAAGAATAAAATAGCAAATATAAATATAAAATAATATTCAGTGCAAAAGTGGCTCGTGATTTATGAGTAATGGAACAAAGGAAGCGATTAGGAGCGTCAGTTATTCGTGTAGCAAAAGACTCATCGTCAGCCACAGGGCATCATTTTTTGAAAGGGATAAGCGTCGTGTTACAGCTCGAATAGCTGGGAAATAAATTCAATGCCTCCGCATGAAACCATGTACTTTTCATTTGACATAATTTCAAGGAGAATTTCGCTTGAAATTACAGGTTCGAACTTCGCAGCGGTATTCTTGCGAGAACAGCGGGCGCGCAAGGTGAGCACAGTGCGCCGCCGTAGGTTGAGTCAGGCCAAAGGAAGGGATATAAAAGATGAACTCTTGCAGCAGAATGACTGGATCCAGTCAATCAGCCAAGCCACAGCCTGGACTCAGCTCCAACGCCGTGACTTTCGCTGTGCTGACAAAAAAAACATAATTTCTTCCCTATACACCCCCGAAAGCCACCATGTTGTCCGCGATCGCTCTTTTCGTGTTGATCTGTGGGCCCATGATTGCTACCTGTGAGTTTCCGCAGGAACCGCGTATGCAGAGACAGATGGACGGTGAGACTGCTGCTGTAGCACGAGTTTGCTTGAGTTACGTTTCCCCATGCTTGACCCTTGTTAGGAACGCCTGCGACTGACCCAGAAAGAGTGCTTGCAAAAAAGATCATGCCGTCTGACTCAAAGGCGTACGGGTTCTTCAAATCTGCGCCAACGTTGCCTCTGAGCCGCGATGAAGTCCCCCAACAGGTCGGGATTTCAGGTAAAAATTATTGTTCTCCAACTCGAGCAAAACGTCCCCGCGATCACAGTCACTCAGTTAGATTAAAACTACACATTGATCCGACGGTACTATACAATGATTACTCTAGATCTGGCCACGAAAGGAACTACACCTCTTCTCACCCAATAATTACCGAATCCGTCGATTGAAGTGCAAGAGTTGCGATTTCTTAGATAATAATGTGAATGACGATGCATAATTCGAAACATTTCATGTCTTACGCTTCAGACCACTGTAGCACGTTATTTGCTCGTCATCAAAATCAGGCAAATATTATAAAAAAGTGTATGATCATCAATATTCGAAAAAATTCGATTGCAAAAATTTGCATACCGAGTTGATTCACGTGTTAGAGTAAAGTAACGTATATGAACTCGTTAAATGAATCTACCGCGAAGTCTTGAACCCATAATCAAGAAGTGTGTCGACAAGTTTGAAGAAAATATTTGACAAATTCTAACATAACTCATCCCAAAAAGTATTTTAAGCCTCAAAGATAATAAAGGTTTTATTCTTTCCATGACCAGAATTCGCGTAGTTCTTCAGCTTGACTAATTCAACAGTGTAATAGAGTTTCAAGGATATGCCGAGTGGCAGATCCCCGTTCAGTTGCTTGCAAAACAAAGCAAAGAACAAAAGCAAAAAACACCGCCTCGAGCAATCACTGACAATTTTGTGTGAAAAATCTTCCCAATTTTCAAATGTCACATGGGAAACCTTTCAAGATTCCGTGAGTTATCCTCAAATATTTTGGGCCGGAATGATATTTGGCATTATAGTTTTGTCTGTGGCACTGGTAACCCACCCACATGCAGATGTTGAAAAGTATTGAAAATGTCCCTGTACGAGGTCTTCAATGCTGAAAAAAACCAACTTTCTTGAAAATAATGATACTACTTTTTTACGTTTCGGTCTCATTTTAATTGAAGGAAAAGCATTGAAAAAAGAATCCATCCGCATGAAGAGCTTTAAAAAAGCGCGTTAAAAAAGGTTTAAAAATTTTGGCAATTTCATTAAGAGAAATATCTTAGTAGACATGATAGTTCTGTCCAAGATTTCCTTACATTTGTAATAGATTGAAAAATTCTTTACAAAATTGATTCCCGAATAAATGTGATTTCAATTTATTCCCTCTAAAAATTGTAGACCGAAATTCAGATGCTTAAAAAAGCATTGCCATTGGGGTGGATTCGATCTTTTAAATCGCATACTAATTAATTCAAAATCATATGTTTTATCAAAGTCATGATTCTTGATTTTCCCTCAAATACAAATTATACAATTCATTTTGATCCAGGTTTAAGCCATTTTGATGATCCATTCCAATCCCCTAATATCACCAAAAACTACACCATGCAATGCATGGTGTGGCGTCCTATCAAACTTCGTTGCACAATATACTGTATGGATAGTTTTTCTGCGAATGCCACAATTTTCCTCTTCCACCTACTGTACTTCATTTTTAAGTACAAAAAACGTGGTCTTGAAGATGTTATCGACGTCAGTTCATACCGTGGGGGCAGTCATGAATCGTAGAGCCAGATGAATTTAATAGAAATTCCGAATTTCCCCTTTAAAGCACCAAATTTCCGCATGATGCCAGAACTGTTCATTCTGCCTTTTCCACCTTTCTTTTTGATGCACGTTTTACAGAATATAGAGAATGTCCAAGCCCCCCCCCCCCAAATACAATATTCCTGTTGGTTTCCGGGTGCCTCTCAACTCTTGAAAACCCTGTCTTTTTTATTTTATGCAAATGTATTCCGAAATCTTTTGTCCACGTTTGATTATTCAAATTCAATTCTCGGTTGAGTTAGAGTACATGCGGTCATATAAAAATGTATTTGATGAAATTGCACAACGAACCAACATGAAAAAATTGAGAAAATATAGTAATCTCCATTCATAATAATTCACTAAAACTGGGAGCATAATTGAATCAACTGTAAATTCCAGTCGTATTATCCCAAGCGAGCAATGTTTTTGTCCTTGTTTATAGAATCTTCCATGTCTCTTTAATCCGGAAAAGTTCACAACCTTATTTGTTCAAGATATTTCCAACGGCTTATGAAAAAAAATAAAATAATATGAAAAGATTTCTTTGATTTCTTTTTTTTATTCATTTTGCTCCTGCTCGTCGTGCCGTTGTTCATCGTGAAGCAGATCGTTTGGAAACAAGGCAATTCCGGCTTGAACCCCGACATTTTAAATTCGCAATAGACAGTTTCTCATATAAATCCGCCGCAGGGGCTCCATCAGGGAAAAGATGTGCGCAGAAGGGTATAAAATTCAAAATCTTGCAGGCATGGACGAAACGTCCAGTTTGGATAGGAGAGGTAGAGAGCATACAACGAAGATCTCATAGAATATGAGTATATGACTCTCTTTTCCATGCATGAGTCCGTTTGAGGCATACGCAGTGCCTCCTTTGGGGAGAAACTCAAGAGCAGTTTTAATTCACGGTTTTATTCTTCTGCTCCCTAGCGCACGTGAGTTTGTTTCGTAGGGGAAAAGTTCCCTGGGGAGCCCTGCGGAATCCTGCATTTCCGCGACCAGGGTTCGTTGGGAGTCATCCAGAATGTTTCGTGGGATAATGCGGAAACAAACAAACCATAATAGAATAGGCTGCTGTGCTGACCCTGCTTTGACATCGGCCTACGCCCTAATGACACTTGAAAGAATGACAGTGCGTGGGTTGAGGGTATAGTAATTCTTTCCAAATGAACCCGCAAGAACAAACCTAGGAACGGTGCAGAACCTGACTGGAGCCCTTCGATCTGCGGCGGTTGATCAAATATCACGGAGTCCTGCTTGCTTCCCGCATACCGAATAAGAATTTCTTGGCATTTTTCTTCTGCTCAGGAGTCTCGTCACACAAATACACAGGTTCCTTGCACTCCAGGAATTCCGAATCAAGCTACATACAGCGACTCTGTATAACATGAATTTCTTGTCCAGTAATATTTCACGCAGCAAGGCAGCCTTACGAATCTACCAACATTCCTGATTACTATTCAGTGATACTGTATTACTGTCCAGTGATGACTATATGGAGAATATTTAAGGCCCTCAAAGAAAATGCGTGGAACGAGGTTCATTTTCAGTTTTCCCAATTCGTTATGAATTTTCTTCACACGACAGCACATCCATATCTAACGCACGCATCATTTTAGAACTTATAGAAAAGGTGACGATGCTTAGTCATATTCTAATTTGCATCTCAACCATTCGCAGAATCTTTAGATAAATTGCCTGTTGATTCGTTTACCATGCATGCTATTATATATTTTTATACTGTACAGTATTGTGCTCTGTATTTATTTGAATTTTTCAAACATTTTCACCACGGGGCATAGAGGGGAAAATCATTTCAGGCATAATCAGAAATACTTCAAGTGACGTCGGAAATCGAAGGGTGTATAGTCAATAAATTCATACGTAAAATGGAAGCTGACCGCTATTCATCTCCTCCAAAAAGGTACATCAGTTTTCTGTTATTCGAAGCATTCACTGTAATCAGATTGAAAAGCATATTGATTTCAATTTTGACTCATCCTACGAATTTTAAATTTGTGAAGTATGCTCTCATAACATGTTTCTTTGATGGATGATTATTCATTCATGCGAGAAAAAAGCTCTCAAGGGTTGTATTTTCTGCTGTCGCACTTGAATTAATGTGGATAATGACGTTGGAATCTATCAGTGTTTTCACAGCACTTCGTTGAAAGGTAACCTTATTGCGAAATGTAAGGATGGGAAACCGAGGTAAAAGCTGGTGAATTCAAAGTGCAGCAACTTTCAGCACGATAAATCACTGACGTAGTAGTTTTCCTTCATTTGAACCGTTGACCTTAACCTCTGAAGTCATCACTTAAACCGTTGAAACATTATTCTTTCACGGTGATGTTGAAAGACCTTTGCTTCTGTGAGGGGAATAAACTGGAATCGGGTGAAGACGTTTACTTTTTTTTACAACAAATTCGCAGTTACAGAGTGATTCTAAAAATTGATGGAAAACTGAATAAACATTAACGAAGATTATCCCGAGAAGGACCGTTGAAAAACACTTGTACTTATACGAGAGTGAGCATAAGTTTACTCGATGCCGTAATCTGAAAATCACCTGCGTCATAAAAAGTGATCATGAATTATTAATCATGCTTGATAGTGCTCTACATTTCAATATCAGAACTTGAAATGATAGATTAAAAAAAAAACCTAGTTTTCTATATTGTTCATAAGAGGCTCGAAAAAAAGACGTCAGATGTGCAGCAGCTTCGATCCGCATTAATTGATTTTTTATTGTAATAAGCAAGTTTGCTCTTATGTATATTGAAGAACAAAGTGCTTGTTTGTATTGCGATGACAATTTAAAAATCCATTATTGATGGGGACGTCGTGGTGTACAGACTATGTTTACTGATGATATTGATGATGAAGGAGGAGACAACAAATCTTGTTTTCAGACGTTTTCTGGGACGTGGGACGATTCTTGGACAAATACCGGGCGTACATTTCGAACGCCGGCGAAAAGGATCAAGAGATTCCAGAAATCCCAAGCAATCCTGCCGATTATTTGGACACCGGAGGAGATGAAGGTGAGCTCAGTTGCTCTACATAGATAATCCTAACGCGTGATTTCCTGTCATTACAATGCATGATCACTGCACCCACTGAAATTGCTACTTCGAAGCTTTCTCATCACGGCGGCACACGTTAAATGGCGCTTTTGCACGGATGCCGGTTGAAGTCTCGCGATTTTGCCATGTATATCTCGCATACCCGCGAAATCGTCGTATATACTTAACAGCTTTCCGCAGTGGGAAAAATATGAGTATCAAAAAGTACGTGATCATCAGATTTCGCCAAAGTCATCTTTCCCACAGGGGATCTCATTACAGTTGATTACACGATCCGTAGAGAAATCCCCTGGCGAAGTGATTCCTTTTTGCCAAAGCACAATCAGTGGGATTCTGGGAAAGAAGCTCACGTGCAGAAAAAACATGCATTATCAAAAAACCTAATACTCCACTGAGAATAAAACAGCGAATAAATTTTATATCGCAAATAAACATATTCTGGTAAATAGGTTCAAAACAGTAAAGTGCTCGCTGTATTTTTTTCGTATTTTTCTTTTAGCTTAATGCAAAAATCGTTGCTGGTTGAACTAAGCAGGACATACAATATCATTTTCACGAATTATATGAGCGTTATAAGGTAATCTATTTACTGTAATAACTTTTTGAAAACGTTTTGCTTAAAAATCTCTGAAGAATCCTTATGAAAAAATACTCTCATTTATTCTCTGTACTAATTTTTCTCAATTGCAAATTTAATGTCTCAAAAAAGATGCTGTGTGGTGTTAGATAAAAAAAAATTCATGAACCTAACGGTCAGCAGACACATTTTACAATAAAAACTTATCACATCGATACAACGTTCAACTTCAAATTTTCATTGAAATAACTCATGAAATAACTGTCCAACATGAAGTAAACAGACCTGAAAAATTGAACGCATAACTTTCTTCATACGACACTATGAATTATTACATCTTCAACCCATTGATTTTATTCAGTTAGTTCTCCAACAGCGACGAACTGCATTTTGGTACGAAAATCTCAATTCCAAAAACTGAAGGGTTTAAATGAAATGGTATGTTTGACGTGAGTTTCACTTGAACATGTTCATTTGAACAGCGACCTTTCGTAAATCCTTGAAGTGTTCTCTCCGAAATTTTCTTCTGCAGGGACATTTTTTGCATGCAGAATTTTTTCTCCCCCCGGCAAGCCAATTAGTCTTCCTTCATTTCTAAAATAAATTAGATTTAATACGCAGGAATGTCTTACATTCTGAAAAGCTTTCAGTTAACCGCATCATTCAGGAACACATGTCCGCGCTTTTCAATATAACGTAATTTCTGTTAATTTTTACGATTTTTTTCGTAGAAATTCGTTACAGTTCATTCGTACGCTTCCTCTCGTCACATTCAGTATTTGACAGGAGGAATACTTTTTCTCACTTTATTTAAAACTGGTAATAAATTTGTTCAATTCAGCAGTGATGGAATAATGAATAATTTTGAAAATCGACCAAATCTAGGAATCAACCTGTGATGTCAAGTGCTTGTGTCTCAAAATTTATTGACCATAACGCATGTAATCTGCAACTTCGCGCTAATACCGTCTGTTCCGCGAATTATTTCCAGGTTCCCTGAGTATCGTTGTAGCGTGCGTTCATCTGTAGCGCGATACGGAAGTTTTTCAGGCATCATTAACCGTGTTAGTTACACCATACGCTCTGTGTTTCCACGCGTGCAGGCGCGTCTTTATCGTACTCCATGTCATTTCCAGTATTCTACGCATGATGAGAGGCAATGTAGCGCTGACAAAATGATGTAACTACGTGATGATTGCTCGGTGTTTAAATTAGGATCATTCGTGCAAGCCCGGAGCCGAGTGTATCATCCAACGCCGTATCGATACAACCTACTGAAATTCAAACCCGATGACCCGTCGGAATACAGTAGCTCTGAGCAGCGGCGCAGGTTCGGGTTCGGACTCGGCAAGAAACGATGAACAAATCGATCCCACGTACAAATTCTTCAGCTGTGTTGAAAATTCCATTCTACAACTCGCTCCCAGGAGACTTGAATTTCCATTCCGAAATTCCGGAAACTGATCAAACATCCACTGCTCTGCCTGTTACTTTTGTTTGTTCTCCGTGTTGTATCATGGAATAAAGATAGCGCTTGGGTATCAGACTTGCCGGAGCAATTTTCATTGAAACGACGCTTTTTTTTTTTTTCAAGAGAAACAGTTTTTATTTACACATGCTTGCAAATAAGCACGTCACGAAAAGAACAGAAGCAGAAGCGTCTTTGGCTGATCAAGGCTTCGAAGAAGGCAATCGTGGCAGCGGGAACGAAATCGCTGATGAAACCAGTCGAGTAGCACTTCTCAATCGACAGGGTTCACTCAGTCTGGTTCTCATTCGACACCACGGGGTCTTGGGCAGCATCAAAGCATGTGACAACCAGGAGGTGCGACTGGCAAGCTGCAACTCGCTTTTCTAGAATCTTCGTCTCCTGTTCAAGCGCCTCGACTTCATGCGTGTCTGGACGAGTTGTCAATTGTTCTGCGATATGAACTAGAAAATAATTCACAACCCCTCAGCATAATGAAATTACGAAGAAATGCATTTTATCCTAGAAGAATTCTGAAAAAGGTTCGATAAAAGCGAAATTTCATCGCGAGTAATCAGTTAATCTGGATGCTTGACTAAGTTGGAAACGCGACCGGGTGGTTAAGTGCGTCCGAAAACAGCGTGCTTCCAAAACAATGCATGTCAGAAATGCAGAAGAGGGTTTGTGCAAAACAATTCCAAGTATTTCAATTATCAAACATAAACTTATGCAACAAAGTTTATTGGGTTCGAACGCCGATTCACCTCGCTTTGATTAAGCCGCTCGATTTATTATGCAGTATTTTCAGAACGAGGTATCAGGGTAAAGAAAATATAAATAATGCTCAAAAATGCAACCCTTTTGATTCAGCATTGTGGATAATTTCTTGAATATGTTACCAGATTATATTTTTCCCATACTCTTCTCGATGTTTCGGACTCGCCGCATTTAGGAACGCACCAATTTGAAAAGCGCATTTTTTTTTTGCGCGCTAAATTTTCTCTACACCGGAAGGAAGAAGAGTGCTATGAGACAATATCGGCCAGAAAAGGATGCCGACTGAGGGATAATGACGAGAAAGAAGAATGTTTGTAAGAGAAGTTGCTAACGAATATTAAGTCTAATGATTTACAAGGATGTACTGCACCTCTCAATTGAAATTGACGTTTATGGCACAATCTATATGTAGTGATTAACATAATTTTATCGACACGCCGGTTCATATTGAAAATGTTTGGCTTCTCTCGTTGCAATTCTGCCCTTCGTAGTATTTTTAAATTGCTTGCGGGTTAACGAGAGAAATAAAGTGAATTTAAAGCAGTTGTACCTCTCCGAGGTACATATATAGGGTTACTGCAAAGTGTAAAATGCGTTTCAAATACATTAACTGTAGTAATAATGGTTTCTGTATCACTGCTCTCCAAAAAAGAATTTTTTCTCGCCGGAATTTAACCCCGGAATAAGATTTACGTAGAAATGTGGTTGCATAACTCACGGTCAAAACTCCAACGAGCTTTCGGAACTGACAAACGTCGCTTGGCAGCCTCGAGTTCCTGTTTCAGCAACTCTTGGCGCCGCCGCAGACTCGACACCTTCTGAATTGCACTCAAGCACAAATCAGCGCGATTTTCAAGCCTCGCAACGTCGTCATCCGCATACTGTAAGATCTCCACAGTCGTCAAACCTTCATCTTCATTTGATCCGGTGCTCGAAGCGTCACTGTCCCTGACAATGCTTTCGTAACCCGAGGACTCGCCTTGCGTTGTGACAGTTCCTCTGATGGACCTCGACTTCGCCGTCTTCGACGAAGGTCGTCGCCGACACGTTCTCGTCCTGCCGCCACAGTCCTTCAGAAGCGTGCCTGTATACAGTACAGGCAAATATGGGAAAAAAATTTTAATTTACACTTCAGCAGACTTCACGGAATTTAGCCGGAGTCTACGACTGAGGGCTCCAATCCGCAGTTGAAAATTCTCTGTCCTCCAGCTCTAGCCGAGAAATGCCCCCCCCCCCCCCCCCCCCCCCAAATCAAGCGCTTCTCGCTAATCTGATCCAGAGTTCGAAGGATCCCTCGCAAATTTTCCTGGGCAGCCTAATTTATTGAAAGGAAATTGCAATTAAATACACGATTTCCACATAGGAACTGCAACTGAGTAAAAACGCGGGCTTCCGTGATTCAATGTACATGTAGATCATGTACAAAATAAGATACCCAAAATTACTTTGCCAGAAATTTATCAGCGCGAAGAGGATCCGAAAGAAAAGTGTGTCTCAACAGGAACTCGTCAACGGTATCTGCCAAGTACATCCGACGTACAGTAATGTAGAACGCGAGTCAAGGTACTGAAGGAGGCTGAGAAACTTATCTCAGGCATTGCGTTGCACATCAACTTGGAATTCTAAATGGCCTTTTACCATTAGACAGTCGAAAAAATATTTATTTTCTCTTCGCCAGGCTGAAGGAGTAAAAAGGTGAAAGACCGTCTCGAACGTGTTTCCAAGCTACAAAGGTAACTTGAAAGCCAGTTTGAATTAACATTAGAATGTTCATGGAGGTAACAGCGCTGTGAAAGTTCAGAAGGTCCCTCCAAGTTTCCCAAGGTCATCATAAAATCAAGGTAGGAGAGAGACTCATGCCTCTTTCATGAACATATTAAAAACGGCTTTCAGAGAACCCAATATTTACCAAGAAAAAGATATATCCTGATGATTGATTACCTTTCAGCTCATGCTGACGTGCATTTCATTGACTAAGGAAATTGCAATGTGCTACCGTAGGTGTGTAGTGGATTTAGTTTAAATGAAGTTTGTGGCTTACTTCATGCAGCAGAGAGTCCAGCACTGTAATCATAATTTTGTTATTGTGGCGAGAAAATGCTTACTTTATGTTAAATAACAAGCGAGGATTCGGAGCATGGGTGAGATGAATTTACCAGCATCGAATTATGCTCAACATCTTTTCCCATATTTTTAGATCCTAGTTTTCTTAAAAAATAATCCTTTTTAAACCTTAAAGCGAAAGCTTTTCAACGGTATACTTTACACACGGACACGGGGCTCGCCCTATGACCCGGGTGATACACAGAATTTTTCACAAATAACGATTTTATAACAAGCGTCATATGTGGACTCTAATGCGGAATGCTATGAAGCAAAAGCCAGCTAGTGAGGCGATTGAGTGAATGATTTATATTGGAAACACGAAGTATTGGAGGTTGGACTACTTAACAAAAGACATAATGAACTTGACCTATGTTGAGAGCACTGCTTGAGAAAATGGTGGTCCAGACAAATGTTTGCCTTGAAATACAGACAATAATCGACTTACGAACACTGTAAACTCAAAAAATCTTCTCTAAAATCTGGGCAATGTTTCAAGATTTGGACATCGTGCCAAATTTTCCAGAATTTTTTTTAGTTTTTAAAATTTTGATATCCCTTAAACAAATTAAGTTAATGTTGCCAGGACATAGAGTAAAAAAATCTTCCTATGAATTTAGCAGACATTATTTCCAAAAAAGATCCAGGTCTTCTGCTTATATTTTTGCGGAGTTTTCCATCGACTGTGTGTAGCGTTTTTTCCTGCTGAATTTCTTTTCATGCCAAAAGGCCACGTTCTTTGTGGCTTTATTTCTCACATGTTTCTGCATTTTTAAATAAAAGCACATTTCTGAATTTTTGGAGGACTTCTTCCAAATTTTGCGAAGCATTTTCCCAATGCAAATGTAATCCAATATGCACATCTTCCAACACATAGTTAAATTATGAGTAGTTATAACATCTGAATCTTGTGAACCCCATTGTACATGACAGATAGCCATGATATGCATGAGACCATTGTGAAATCTTCAAATTGATGCAATTCAAAAAAGGTAAAAGCACGGGGAAAAGACTGTCAAGGAAAACACGGGAGAGCACATAAAGGTATACATGGGTTGAAGGGATTTCAACGCAACTATCAAATAGAACCAGTCAACCGCCAATATGGTAAATGTCCAAGTGAGTGATGCTGCTTATTTCTACTTCAGATCCCTCAACCATTACTGTACTTGAGAGGCCCTTGACCCAGAAAACTTGACAACCTTCCCCTGTACTTGTATAGGTGGGTAGAGCAGATATACTTGCCTAGAGGCGTAAAATTACTGCAGGTGAAGAAGCTCGTTTCTTTTTGTTTTTTAGCGTTATGATAAGTTGCAACGTATCGTGGCTCATTTCGTGAAAGCTCTCGTGACGCGGACGTGGGTCCTTTTTGCTTTTGTTTCTTCTTTGTGTTGGGATTACAGGGTTGAGTAGGACTCTTCCCTTAGGGACCACTTTACGTAAACTCACTATTAGTCATGCTGCTAACATTCGTCAGCGGTTGGGAGCGAGGCAAGTCTCACCCGAAGGATGCCAACCGAACTCCTTGGATGCTTCGGCGACGACGCCAACGCAGGACGACGCGTCCTGTCCGATCACAGTCCTTGGGCCGAAAACGTCGCTCGGATTGGCCTGCTTGGCCTTCAGATCGTCTCCACTGTCTTTGCCGCAAATATTCGGATTCGATGCCCCGTCGGGGTGTCGCAGTTTTGAATAAAGCTGACTCAGCTTGTCGCGCAATTCGCTGTCGAACATTTGCCCGCGCTCGATAAGCGACACCCCGGGATGTTCGTTGGTGACCGGGGTTACGGTTTTCGGCGTGGATAAAAGGCAGTCGGGTTGCGAGTAGGTGCTGAAACGATCCCTGCGAACGTTTTCTCGGAACGGACCTAGAGGCTTCAAGATGGCCGTTTTCGGCAACTGCGGCAGGAATGGCGGCAAGGGGAATCTCTTGGCGAAGTAATCGTCTCCCCAGGCTTGGCACAAGTCATCCGAGAGCTGAGTGTGGTCCGGTAGGTCAATGTGGGCCTCGTACATGGCCATGGCTGCGTTTTCGGAGAGGAAGGGTGATAAAGCATCGTAATGGTTGACGACAGGCACGTCATGTCTGACCTGAGAATTGTGTGATGGACGACACAGGTGGTGCGGACTGACAGCTCTCTTGATCAGATTCCGGCAGAGGGTTTTCCAGCCCGAGGCTCAGGGCAATATCTTGTTCC